GAATCACATACTTTGTAAACACTTTCTTTCTAATGAAATGGTTGTTTATTACTTGCTTACTATGATGCATATCTTGTGATACTAAACATGACGTCCTCCGCCCCAGAACGTTTCCGCCGTTCCGGTTTTGGGGTGTGACAGATATGAACTCCCCATGTGTGATACGAGCTAGTAATTAACTGACAAGGGGTATATACTCCCCATATATACAAGTAATTTGTAAGGTTTATGATATCAAATGTTTTATGATTTGTTAACGTGTTCATGAGGTTGTGAAAGTAAGTTTCAGTTTTAAGAAGTTCGTAAGTTTATAGGATTGAATGTTTGCGAAGAGTTAAAGTTCTTATGAAATATTTTGAAAGTATATTTCATATTTATTATGATGAGTCTAAACCCATGTATCTCATGAGTCTTTCGCTATTTTTAAATGTGTTATATACTCAGTTTGGAAGCTAAGGACTAGAAGAGCATTAATAATGAATGCTTTTAAAAGATTTAATATATTCTTCGGTTTGTATAATTATTTCCATTTTACTGTGGTTGTGATATTACTTTTGTAACACCAAAGGTTTATAATCTTTAATAGATATTTTATGGTTGTTGTAAAAGCATTTAATCATTCCTTAATGTCATGATAAACATGTAACCATGGTATTCTAAAAGGTTTTAAAAGTATGGGTGTTACATCATACGACGATGATTCTATTTTTCGTTGAAGGTTTCCGCCAACGACGTTAGAGGGGTATGTTTATAGTATATACTCTAGCACCACCAATCGAACATAAATTCCTCCTTATTTGTATTCCCTCATGATTTCTTCAATACAAGCCAGAGGTGTTGACAGATAGATTCGTTTGTCGATCACCATCAAGATTCATTCCTCAAAACTGTCACATTTCGATCACCATCACAAAGCTTCTACCTTAGCCACCATCACCAACCTCCAACTATTCCGCAGATGAAAAAGAGGAGGGAAGAGGGGGAGAAAGAGGATCGTGATGGGGAGAGAGAAGGTTGGTGATTAGGTGGGTCATTTTCTGATGATATATTAAAATAAAAAAAGTAATAAAAAATCAAAGATAAGTAAAATAGTAATTTTAGATCGGAAAATTGATTTATCAGGGTAATTACTTTTTCGTTTTGTTCGTATCCATGTAAGTTTGTTTTTTTTTTCCACATATATGTAATGAACTTGTTGGAAGTGTTTACATATGACCATTACGATCAGTTGTAACTTGCTGCAGCCGGTCATAATGATCATATATGAACACTTCTAAAAAGTTCATTACCTAAATATGTACAAAAATAAGCAAAGTTACTGTGAATAAAGCGAAAATGTAATTACCAAATCAATTTCTTTTTTAGATCGGTTATAAAAAAAATGAAAACACAACCATGTAAAAAATAAAAACAAAGGATTAGCGACTAAGCGATGTAGTTGTGTTGATAATTTTATTGAATCAACTGTTTGTAACAAACCACACGGGCCAACCTTGTAAGTTTATCTTAATAAAAATATATAAAAAATTAACTTTATTACATAACTTGGTAAAAGATAATACAACTTATTTACATTAATCAGTTCTGCCCGTATCGTTGGTGAAGAGGAGAACACGGTGTTCAAGTTTCTTTGTCGGAAAAGAATGGAGGGTACTGGTGGAATTATTCATCAGGATAACCTTGCGTGATGCGAAGCTAGATTCTTCGGACCCATGAAAAGCTTAAAACAAATCAATTCGTAATAAGACTGATTTTTCTTTGGTTTCACGCCGATTCTTCTGCAAAACCTCAGTAGCAAAACATCGAACACATAGCGTGCTTCACATACAGCGCACTTCCGAGTTATGATATTACCTTTCGCGAAGCTAGGAACACTTGCTTTGAAAACGATTTGCAAACCAATCGCCAAACGTATTAAGAAAGAGGCTGGCCGTCATCCTCAGTTCCGCCACGCCATCATCAACTTTGCCCAGGTGTGGTTGCCTGTTCCACGATTCAATTTCACTTTCCAAAATCATTGAATGTTATTTCAAAATATCTGTTAATTTGAGTTGGAAACTTTAGTACATTTGGTCATTTTAACCTAATAGATCCGTGAAGTAAAAGATTAGAAACCGTTATCGCCCAAGTTATCATGGTATTCTTTTGAACAAATTTTATTTTTGGAAAGCGGGATCTAGTTTTCTGTTTTTCAAGAACACCAATTTTAACTCAATTTAGTTCTAATCACATTTGAAGCATGTATGCTGACGAATAGGGAATGAAGTAGTGGAATCATGTTGTGACACCATTAAAGAATTTTATTTAAATTTACTGATCTAATTTGTAAAGTCATCGAATTCAGTTGTGAACGAAAGTTTTACTTTTGCGATTCTTAAAATAAGAACAACAAAAGCAGGGATTTCTTGATCAAAAGCTTTAGTTTAAAGATAATGTCCAATTGATCTTTGATCAAAAGCATTTCTTTTATAACTTAGTTCAATCTTGTATACTATACAGGCTAATCATCGTTTCAGAACAAAGTTGCAAAGACATATATATGGTCATGCAATAGATGCTGCAATTCGCCCTTTAAATGAGGAAAAAGCTGTCCAAGCTGCTGCAGATCTTCTTGGAGAACTCTTTGTGTTCACTGTAATTTTCATATCCTTACATACATACACACCCATCTAATTCATTTGATTGATGAAGATGTTTCACAAATTAGCAAATAATTACAAGTTCACATTCATGATCCAATTTATGCAGGTTGCAGGAACTGCTGTTATCTTAGAGGTCCAAAGAAGCTCAAAATCAGAAGCTAGGAAGGAGGCACTTCGCAAACAAGAATTAGAGGTTAAAATTTATGTTCACTTTCTTTTAGAAATCATGCAACTTTTCTTTCTCAAAGATTTAATAATCATCGTTGCTTCTGATATCTTATAGACCCTGAGGCAACGTGATGAAGATCTTGCAAAGCAAATTGAGATGCTTAAGTACAAACTTGATGAGATTGAACAAGTTGCCAAACAACAAGGACTAGTTTTGAAATTTAGAAAGCCTCATCCTATAGAAGCTGGGAAAGCAAGTGAATCTGGGGTATTAATTTAGGTGTGTGCTAGAATTGAATGCCTTCATGGATAGATACAATGATAGAGGCAAGGTAAGGAACTAACTCTAGAAATGTTTATTACCCATTCTCCTTCAGTTAATAAGATCCTTGAGGGCTCTTAAATGGTGAAATATAATTGGGTAAAGAGTGTTTGAAGACATTTTCTTTAGATTTGAGTTGTAATATTATGTTTATTTTATTGTATTTGTAGTAAAGTTGTAATTAGGTTATGTATGCGTGTAATAAAACTATAAAACGACTATAAAAGTATAAACATTCTTTTGAAAGATAAATGATCCAGTAGTTTGATTTTTAACTTCAGTGTCCTTAAAATTTAGTTTCACTACACTTTCGATCTGTGGGGGTTTAATTTAACAGAACATTTTTGTAAATTTGTTATGAGACAGTGACCATGTTTTTAGTTTTATGAAAGGTAGGAAAATTTATGTAATTTTGCTTTTGGTAGGATTATAATAGGAACTTGGGTCAATCCCCTAGTTCCCTTCCTGCAAGTCGAGCTACAGGGAGACTCCAAGAAAACTCACGGTATTTATATTAATGCATAAAAAGCTAAACAAACTATGGAGCACCTTAAATAGTGTCATGCTAATTGACAGCAACAAAAACTAAACAAATAACTATTAACTATTACTTATCCAAACTAATTCTATTTAGATAGATCCTAAACTACCCCTTATCATTATCGACTCCAATTCCCTACCTAATCCTCCTTCAAAAAACCTTACCAAACCGCTGGGTCATAACATTACTCCCCTCCCAAACCAAAACCTTGTCCTCATGGTTGAAGTCAGGGAACTGCTTAGCCAGAGTCGCAAAATGCTCCCACGTGACCTCATACTCCGGTAAATCCTTCCAACGTATCGGCACCTCTTTCCCAGCCGCCCCTTTGCGTACCCCCTCCACCTGACCAGGTTGCAATAAAACTTCCACGTACTCTGTTAAAGTAGCTGGCTGACGTGGCTATTCGTTCCCGTATACCTTTCCTTAACTGAGAAACATGAAACACATTGTGAATACGAGATGCCTCAGGCAATTCCAACTGATATGCCACTTGCCCTATTTTCTCCCTTACACGGAAAGGACCAAAATACCGAGATGCCAACTTCTCATTTCGCCTTTTCACTACCGTCTGTTATCGATAAGGTTTAAGCTTCAAATACACTTTATCATCCACGTCAAAATGCAATTCCCTCCTATGTCTATATGCTTGTAACTTCATAGCCTGTTGCGCTTTCATCAAGTATCCCCGCAATTCTTGGAGAATCCGATCTCGTTCTTCCAAATATTGATCCACGGACCCTACTGGAGACCCGTTTTGCCCATAAAATAACAAATGTGGAGGATCCCGCCCAAACAAAACTCTAAAGGGCGTTGTCTTAGTGGAAGTGTGAAAAGAAGTGTTATACCAGTATTCCGCCCAAGGTAGCCATGTTACTCATTTTCGAGGCGAATCCATCACGAAACATCGCAGATAAGTCTCCAAACAACGATTCACGACTTCCGTCTGACCGTCTGTTTGCGGGTGGTAGGCCGTGCTTCGCTTCAATGTGGTACCCTTCAGTTTGAACAATTCCTTCCAAAATTGAATTAAATTTTTTTTGTCTCGATCCGAGACACTAGACTCGGGAATTCCGTGAAGTCTAACGACTTCCTTAAGAAACATATTAGCCACCGTAACTGTTGTATAGGGATGCTTGAGGGGTACAAAGTGAGCATACTTGCTCAAACGATCAACCACTACAAAAATTACCGTGTATCCTTCCGATCGAGGAAGCCCGTCAATGAAATCCATGGTCAGTTCAGACCACACCTTGTTCGGTAACTCTAAAGATTGTAACAACCCACCCGACGCCATGGTTGAGTACTTATGCCGCTGACGCATGTCGCATTCCGCCACCCTCCTTGCTACATCTCCTTTCATTCCTTTCCAATAGACCTCCCTCGCGAGCCGCTAATAAGTCTTTTGAAGATAACTGGTATCCAAACCGAGTCACTTGGTATCACCAGTCGCCCCTTAAACAACAACTGATTCCGTACCAGCGTATAACCCGCCATTGTTTCACCACTTAAGAGTCATTGCCGGATAACGCTCAATTCTTCATTTTCTCCAACCTCCTTCCATAACCCCTCCCAATCGACGAGGCTCGTGGCTGCCAAGGTCGACAATTGTGGAGGTTCAACCCGTCTTGACAAAGCGTCCACCACATTGTTCTCCTTCCCTGGCTAATACCCCACTACAAATTTATAACCCAATAATTTTAATAACCACCTCTGGTGATCGTCGGTTACAGTCCTTTGCTCTAACAAATATTTCAGACTCCTTTGGTCTGTTCGTACCTTGAAACATCCTCCCAACAAATATGGATGCCACTTCTGTATTGCAAGTACAATCGCCATAAGCTCCGCTCGTATAATAATTTCAACCGGGCCTCGTTCCTAAAATATGGTTGAAATAAGCCAATGGTCTTCCCTCTTGTAACAACACCGCTCCCAAACCGTATCCCGATGCGTCAGTTTCCACCACGAACTCCTTGTCAAATTCGGGTAATGCAAGAACTGGGACTTCAGTCATTACCTTTTGTAATTTTCGGAATGCTTCTGTGGCTTCTTCCGTACACTTAAAGTTGTCCTTCTTAAGTTGCTCCGTTAACGGCCAAGTAGTCTTCCCATAATTTTTAACGAAGTTATGGTAATAGCCCGTCAAACCCAAAAATCCCCGAAGCTCACGAAACGTTTTAGGTAAAGGTCACGTTAACATGGCCGCAACCTTTGCCGGGTCAGCCGCTACCCCTTCCTTTCACACTATATGGCCCAGATATTCGACCCGATTCTGAAAGAAAAAACATTTTTTTATTAGCATTCAACTGGTGAGCTCGCAACGTGTCCAGAACCTTCCCCAGGTGCAGTGCGTGTTCAGGTTCCGTTTTACTGTAAATTAGTATGTCGTCGAAAAATACCAACACGAAGTGTCGTAGGAACGGATCAAAAATTTTATTCATTAGAGACTGAAAAGTAGCAGGTGCATTAGTCAACCCGAAAGGCATTACTAGAAATTCGTAATGACCCTCATGGGTCCTAAAAGCTGTTTTCGGAATATCCCCCGCCTTCAAACGAATCTAGTGATAACCGACCTTCAAATCAATTTTTGTAAATACGGTAGCCGCGTGTAACTCATCCAACAACTCATCAATCACCGGGATCGAAAATTTATCTAACACCGTGACTTTGTTTAGTGCACGATAATCTACACAAAACCTCCAACTCCCGTCCTTTTTCTTTACGAGTAACATAGGACTCGAAAACGGGCTAGTACTAGCCTGAATAATTCCAGCACTAAGCATCTCCCCCACGAGTTTTTCAATTTCATTCTTCTGGGCATGCGGATAATGATACGGCCGCACACTGACTGGTGGAGTTCCTTCTTGGAGAGTTATGCCATGCTCGTGGCTACGGTTCGGTGGTAGACCACTAGGCATGTTAAACACATCTGAGTAGGCGCCAAGAATCGCTTGAATCGCAGGCGGTACCTCAGGCGGTTCGTTAGTATCAACCTTGGAAGCCAATTGTACCAAGAAACCTTTCCACCTCTTGCTGCAACATTTTACAAAAAGTCTTACATGAAGCCAAGGATTTCGATAGGGTTGGGTCACCTGTAATCGTCACAAGCCAACCTCCATCCCAGAACTGCATGCGTAGTTCTTCCCAATTAACGGTCATGTCCCCTAGAGTTCGCAGCCACTGTATACCCAATATGATATCAGACCCCCACATCAAATGGAAGGAAATCTCCCACCACCTGCACTTCTGGTAGATTGAGAAGTACACCCTTACACATTCATTGACTTTTAACCATCAGCCTGTTGCCTAGCTTGACCCCTACTGTTCCCTCTCCTACTACAGCAACCCCCAAGAGGTGTATGATTCACGTTGACAAAAAATTATGCGTAGCCCCACTATCGATCAAAACAATCACCTCTAGTCCTCCAACATCACCTTTTACTTTGATCGTCCAAGGAGGTGTCAACCTGCTGACCGCATTGAGCGAAACCTTCGCGATATCAAAGTGGGCATGCTCCAAGTCAGATCTCTCGTCAACTTCCTCGTCCACAATAAAGACTTGTAACGTCTTTCTAGGGCACCTGTTCCCTGGAGCAAACTTGCCATCACACCTAAAACACAACCCTGTGCTCGTTTCTCCGCTAGCTCCATTTGAGTAAGACGTTTAAACGCACTTGCTCCACTAGCCTCCTGCTTAACCGAAGTTGCTGGTGTGGTGGTGTTGTTTTTTGATATGACATTTGTTCCCTGCTTTGGAGTTCCAAAACCAACCCTGCTACGGCTCAATCCCCAGGTATGATTTTCTTCTATCTTGATAGCCATACGGATAGCCTGAGTCAAAGATTCTGGTTCGACTATTCGTACTGTTGCCCTCACATCTTCCTTCAATTCTTTAATAAATGTACTCTCCTGAATTGACTCCGGTACCTGCTCAAGCTGCCCCGCAAAACCTTCATGTCACAACTAGCAAAATGGGTTAAGATGTTGATCTTTGTACAAGACAATTTCCTCTATGTAACCTTTCAACATTATATCTAATGAAATTCAACTACAATGCTATTTAAGTTCTTATGTTCATACATTGTGATTCAAGCCGAAACAACCTCATGCAAGTCCAAAAATCAATCCAATAAGCCAAGTCCAATCAATTTTGGGCCTAGCCCAAGAATTCTCGGTTCAAATCCCTTATTGGATCAAGACTCCTTCATTGGGCCCTATTGGGCCGATAACTTCTTCACTTGGTCTCATTGGGCCGAAAACCACTCTTTGAGCCCTAATGACTTCTATTGGACTTTCCATTGGGCCGAAAACCTCTCCTTGGGCTTTAGTGGGCCGAAAACTTTTCCTTGAAATCTTATTGGGCCATGTTAGGCCGAAAACTCATTTTTCTTGGGCTAACTTTGGACCGAAAACTCATATTGGGCTAAACATTTTATTGCGCCAAATCAAAGCCCACTATTTTGGGCCATCCTTGGCCCGGGAAGCCTCTTAGCTCGGTTGGTATATATATATAAAAAAAAAACAAAGAGATAAGCTTGGATAATAGGCATGACACCTCATAATTACACATCAAATAACAAATGTGATTAACCCACAAATAAATAAGCAATGAGCAATTGTCCAACATGTTTCAAGGCCAATCTCTTTCCCTCCCTTCTCTTAATTGGCCGATACACATACACACACACTTCACAAATCTCATTCGTCCCACTAAACTCTCAAGAAACATCCTCCTTATTCTCTCAAAATTTTCGAGCACCATCATCTTCAAAGATCGATCCTAGGCTTTCTTGGTAAGTTATATTCTAAACCCAAGTGTTTTGCTTCATGTTTATTTTGAGAACATCCCATTTTACACTCTTTTGTTGTGTGTTAAACTCTTAGAAGCACCACACTTTTCGAGAATTTCACAAGAACACAAGCTAGGCTCGAAGTTCTTCTTCTTCTTCTACATCTCGAAAATCCTCAAGGTGAGCTTCATACCCCACTATTTTCATGATTTTCATACTCTTTGGGGGGGGGGGGGGGAATACAAGTCAAATCTCGTTTAACCAATGGATAATTGCATGTACTAATGTGTAATGTGTTTAACCTTTGGGTATTTGCATGAACATGAAGTTTATCTTATGCAACTTCATAAAAATCATGAGAAATGTGTTTGTTAACATATATATTGCATGGAAACTTGTGGATATGGGTTATACACTCAAAAATAGCAAAAATGAGTGTTGTGTTCAAACATGTATAACCTAAACTCAAAAATCAGCTTTCAACAGAAAAGTTTTGGT